TTCTGAGCAACACAAGATATTCTGGAGATGGATACAAAATGCCAGTAAGTCATGGACATATGATGGGTTTAGGGCCATAACTGATTTGGCTGCAGGGAAGATTTTTCCCAGTCCTAACCAGCCTTGCTATTCTGTCACTTTGTGGTATATTCATGGCTGCACCATCATCCAACCTCTCACAGTCTTGATGAATCTGAGTAAATACACCAAGATAAACTAACCAACCAACCAACCAACCAACCAGCCCAAGATGCAATGGCATCAATAGCCATCTTGGATTAGCTACATCCATGGAAGAACAGAATCCTTTCAGTAAAAAGGAATCTGAAAACACAAATAAAAGACCATTTAGCATTATAGTTTATTAGCATTATAGTTTATTCAAAAATAATCCTTACAGATGAACTATCAACAGCAGAAGAGGGCAAAGTAGACGCATTCAAGTGTTTGGATAAGCTGTGGCCCTCTTCGCTCTTAAGCTAATTGGAAATCAATTACAGTTCATTTGCTGGCACCTCCAGAATTGCTTGGGAAGGTCTTGAGATGAACCTTTCCGGAGTGTCTAGCTTAGCATTTCTGAAGGTGGAACTAATCGATTTCCAATTAAGTATGACTAACTAAAACCTTTACAATTCCTAATCATTGCACTCTACACATGCTTCCTCCAAAACTTCCCGAGACATTTTTAGAGATATAAATTAGCAAGAATTAATTGAAAACCAAGGTGTAAATTTCCACTTTCCCTATAAACCAGGACTTCCAACAACCCAGTAACTTGACTGTAACACACCAGTCTTTGCTTAAACAGGATGGTACATAATCTTCAGCAATATGTTGATTAATCACAAAAGGATAGTTTTTACTTGTTGTCATTTTTCCATTATACCTGGACATTCACAACCAATAACACTGTCTATAGCTTTGACAGCACATCCAGAAATCCATAGGCAATTTCACAGCTACTTAAGATAGTCAGTAACTCTTTAGCTTATTCATGTAGTCTATCCGTAATGGAGGAGAGAGACACTTCATCTTACCACTGATATATTTTCCTAAAAATTGACATTACCACACTGCATTGACAATTCTGCACATAGGTCTTTATGGAGTTGTACACAAATACCTGCTGTTGAATGTGGCTGATGATGAGAATGGAGTGACTGTGATGAGAGAGAAAAGTGTTTATCACATTGTCAAAAACAATAAGATGATTTACGTAAGAATATCTATTATTTAAAGGTACTAATGAATCCAATGTGTCTGCTCTGCACTGCAATAATTTAATGGTAGTTACCATTATTACTTTGTCAACTTGAGTCGCCAGAAGTATTTTGGTCTAAAGCTTGGGTAATATAGTGCATTTTTATATTTACTAAAAGAGACATGTTATATAGGTGATGGACTTCTTATCAGCTGAAACCCTGAATTCTGTATAGAAGGGACAGCTGGCCAAATGCCAGCGATGACCAAGATATAAATACTAGAGGAATAACATATTTAATTTGCTTCACTTGAAGTCATGTCTTTTTCTTCCCTTTTCTGTTTTTAAATCTTTCCTTTATACAAAATGCCATGATTCAGTGCACTCGAAAATTAAAGACTACCATGTAAGATCAAGGTTTGAGTCTGTCCATTCATGAAAGGAAATTAAAATCATCACTAAAGGTCCCACTTTTTATTATACTGATAGAAACCACTCAGAAAATACCAGAAGTAAGAAATATACTCAGTATTTAATATACCGTTTGGTCTTTTCATATTTTGTTGGTTAATATATTAAAACATGTATATACGCACAGTTAGACATCGGTGGCCAGATTCTGATCTTATTCACTCTGCCCTAGCCCCTGCATAGCAAACTCAGGCAGGTTAAATATCTAGGCACCAACAGGAATGC